TATCTGAATGTGCAGAGGTAAAAGAAACTTCTTGGCATGGAGTACAGAAATTCTGTAGCAGGCTGTCTTCCAAGTGTATGTTAAGTATTTGTCTTTTCATGGGGTTTCTTCTGTTTCCCTAAGATTTTTAAGAATTAGGACAATGTACTATTGTTCCTTCACTCCTACGCTTAGTTATTTCTTTTCTTGTCTGCTTACTAAGGCCTGTCAGCAGCAAGCCTGTGTTTGGAGGATGCAGTCAGCAGCTTTCATATGGTTTGATGCCTTCTAGCGCCTTCCCTGGGAGGCTGAGCAGCTTCTTCTTGAGGTTGGGATTAAATGTCAAAGTAGAAAATATGACAGAAAAATTTAAGTGACATGAAGATGTGTTTTATACATGCACACATTTGCATATTTCCTTCTATGCCAACTCTCCTGACCGCTCAATCCATCCTAAGAAGTAAAGGAAACCTCATGGTATGAAAATACAGAAAGGTAGAATACAACAAAAGACTAAATTAACCCAATTACATTAAAGCCTAAATTAAACTGGGTAATATGTTATCACTCATTTAAATGGGCAGCCAAAGACAATCTAGTTTTCCTGTGTCTGTGGGTTTCTTATTGAATGAGTATACACATAAAAGTTAGAATAGCTATTTAAAAAATGTAGTGCCCATTTCTTCTATGACTGATCAAGTTTCCCTACATCTAACAACATATTGTAAGAAAATTCAGTGTAGGCACTCAATAAATATGCTTCTCATCAGAAAATGTGTGTGAAATATTTAATATAATCAGAACATATAAATATAATTTGGATAATGCAGTCTACACCACAGCTGTCCAACTTCTAAGTAACCATGGGCTGTAAGCCCAGCGGGCCACACCAGCAGAGGCACGCCAGGGTGGGCCCTGGGTATCCTAGGCCACATACTGTATGAATAATCCCCTGCTCCACTGCAGAGATATTCAACCTTCACCCTCCCAACCACTGCACTGCATGTCCCCATGGAAGCTCCCCTCCCTCCTCCACCCGAGTTGTGCACCACTTACTCATACAGTCTCAGCCTCACCCTCTGCTCCCCTCACTGTCCCAACAGGCAACGGGGAAGCCCAGAGACTCCGACTGCTGTTGTAACTGGAGTGATGGGGGAGCAGCAGCAGCTGGGGAATACTCAGGGGGTCACAACTCAACTCCTCATAGGCCACATGGAGCCCACAGGCCACTAGTTGGACAGCCCTGGTCTAAACAGTACAGTTCTGATAATAGATTGGGCCTGAGTCTAGTTTTTAGTTATTTTATATTGATGCTACCCTATTAACACGCTGGAACTTCTCCACATTTATGCCAGTGACAAATGATGCTAAGGCCCAAAGTTTGCAGTGCATCTAAAAATTAAGAATAACCATGCATGTGTACTTGTGTTGCCAACCTTGTCCAAGCCATTCATGGGTTTTGCAGATCTTCCTTAGACTTGGACTTAAAATCAGTCTCAGTTATGCTACCTGGCATTGCTGTCTGGGTACAAGAACTACATAACTTCGATAAAATCATAGAAGTTACCCGCCTGAATATAGTTTACAGTGTAAGGGTTGGCTGCTTCAACAAGCTTGAATTGTTCCATCTTACAACTTTACTAGCTATTCAAAACCAATTTAAACTTTTCCTGCAGCTGTAATTTTGTTTAGGTTTTATTCTTCTCCCTTGCAGTTAAACTAGACTTCCTGTACCCTAAAAAAATAAAGGCTAGAAGAACATCATAAACTTGGCATAATTTAGCATGGAACCTTAAATATGCCTCTCTCACAAACCCTAAGGCAAGTTCAGCTGTCCTCCATTTACAGTCATCTAGATTATGGGCTTTTATTTTCTTTGCAAAACAGAAATATTCCAGTTTTGATCTTTCAATTAAGTCTACAATAAAAAGGTCCCTTTTATCTTCAGTGACTCCTGCAGGACATTCTTTGTAAGAAATAAAGCCCCTACTCTTTTCTTGTATTAAGCTGACATGCTGGGAAGGATCATCTGCTTTTCTTCTAGCCTCAGCATAGACAATTACTGTATCCATCCTGTGTTGATAAACTGTGCACTAAGATACACTGTGCTGAAAAACAAAATTAAACTAATTAATGGCAGTAATTAGCATTTGAGTTTTGCAGTAAAAACACCAGCATTGCATGTACTATATGTAAAAAGAAAAATTCCTAATATCAGCTATTCCAAATAGTCAGTATTCCTAATATTGATTCATAGTATTCCTAATATTGACTAGTCATCCCTAAATCCAGAATTTAATAAAATTACTTCTATTGCCTGTTAGAGTTCATTTTATCTCCTACAACTCTTCCATCATCCTCTCTCTCTCTCTTAGCTTCACTTGATAAATTTTTAAACATCTTTTAAAATGGAAGTTGACTCACTTTTTTGTTTTTTGACTTATAGCTAGGAGGATAAATAGATAGTGCTTTTGGATATAGGCCACTATTGCAAGTAAACATAAGATAAGGAGAACTTCTGAGTTTTTCCATGATTGCTGAAAATAGAATATGCTAAGGATTTCCAGTACCTTTAACAGTCTTAATAAATTTGTTTCCTCTTATTTAAACTGGACCTTTTATTTTACTTCCCTGAGGCAATTTATATCTTTTCCTTTGGTTCATGTAACTATACAACTGGAAGACTGTTTTCTGTATGCAGTGCCTTTTAAGACTAAAATGGGTCCCTGCTAACCTGTTTTCAGATGCACTGGCTATAAGTTAGTTCCACATGGCTGTGTTTACAATCTGAGTCATACATGCTTTACTCTCTCTTTGGGGCTTTATATGTATATTTCTCTCTTCCTGTCTTTGTTTCTTTTAGTCTAAGGTAGAAACTACCCATGCTAAAAGGATATACTGTATTTATTTGAACACAAAATGAGATTTTTTTCCCCCTATAATTCCATACAAACCTCATTAAATGCACTATCGTCAAACCGCTGCCAAAATCAGTTTAACTGTTCAATAATGGAAACCAGCTACAGAGGTGAGTAAATGCAGCCAATGCAAAGCATGATTATAAAACACACAGCACATATTAGGTAAACAAACTGACAAGAACTTACCACAAGAATAAATCACCACAGCCTACCTGTGGAAAATATAGGGTAGTGCCCATTGCACTAAGTCCCCCTCAGCACCCACTCTTTTTCAAGTCATAGTGAGCCACTACATTGCATATATTTTGACTTCTTCACTCCCACAGCTGAGCTGTGGTTTTCTTTCACATTTCCAGTGGTTCCTGTTTCTTCACCAGCCTTAAATGTCTAGCAAACATCACCAAATGGGGCCCCAAACAGTTCACCCAGAATCCCTCTATTGACCCCTCTCTCAGCCTGTTGCATATGATCAGTGTGCCCCACCCACCACGAGATTGCCCTGTGCCTCATACACATACAAATTTTTGGAGGATCCCAGGACCCATAACAAGAACATCAAGTGCCAGTTATGAGTGGGAGTCTGATTAACATATACATTCTTTGTGGAGGGTATCTGGAGTGCACACACATACTGAAAAGTGCTGAGCTACGGGGTTACCATGTCATAACATGCTGTGGCTTCTGCTGGGGCCTACCCCAGTGAACTATGTGGTAAAACGTGAGTGTTTTGACTTTGGGCTGATATCATGCATAGTTTGTATTATTTCTATAAGTAAATGCTAAAATACTGCTTAAAAGTGTGTTGTATGGAGTGCCTGTGCTAAAACTGGCCATATCTTGGGTAAACTAAAGCTATGGGTACTTATAGCAATATGCGAATTGCTATAGGGAGGTTTTTTCCAGAGTTAGTGGGTGCGTCTACCTGTGCTATTAGCATACAGCAATAACCCTGGTGCATATTGTGACAGAGTTTATTGCTCCCTGGCACACCATTTGAACGTGTGCCTGGGACTGCAGCATGTTGAGTCAAGTTAGAACAGCCCCAGCTGACAGGAGGTCTGGGGTGAGGGTCAGTCTGCCAGGCCAGGGCTGCTCCAACCCGGTTCAATGTGTTGTGGAGGGGCTAGCTGGGGCACAAGGGTGCTCCAGTGTGGGGCTAAACGGCAGGCAGCCCCCGCATTGCAGCACCCTTGTGCGTACACATCAGAACGTATCTGTGCAGTGCTGCAGAGTAAAAAACTCCACAACAAGATTATACTTTTATTTACTCCTGCTGTGGAGTTTATTAGTTTCCTGAAGCCTGATAGGCCACACAGGTGGGCATAAGACATTTACTGCATAACTAATTAGTCTACTGCTCAGTAAACGTCCCATGTAGATGAGCCCAGTGTTTTCAAGTTTGCCCCTCACTTCCATGTGCAAAAGGAGAGTAGGGTATGACAGTAAGGAGGGAAGGGTAGGGGCTGCAGGGGCCAGAAGTTGGGGATGGGGACCAGAGTGCAACGGGACTACCTGATCCTCCAGATTTATTTTCCCTGCTGTATCAGTCAGAGGGGAACAAATTAAAGGCAAACCTCTAATAATTATATTCTATACGTGGAAAAATTATAACTAATTTATAAATTTTCCATATATAGAATCTAATTAATGGGGGGCTGTTGTATCTTCAGCAAATATGGTATTTGTTCTCTATTAATACCCAAAGAATGCAATCAATGAACATGTGCTGTGGAAAACTGTTCTTGTCCAGATTGAATATGACACCTGTAATTATATAGCTTTGTCAGGCATTTCCAAAGAACTGTTAACAAGGTATTATACATGATGGAAAACTGTAACTGTACAAAATTGCCAATTATCAGTTAAGAGAACAATAAATCATAACTAAATGACACCTGATTTTGAGCATGTAGAGCATGTAAGTGAACAAGCATATTTTCCTAGAGTAATTTAAAATAAAATTCCAAAACATATTCATGAATATCAGTTTTTCCATGCTCATTAACTGTATTGTTATATTATATTGTTATAGACTCAAATTAGCCCTAAGGAAGGGTGGCAAGTGTATAGTTCAGCCCAAGATCCTGATGGCCGATGTATTTGTACTGTTGTTGCACCAGAACAAAACCTGTGTTCCAGAGATGCCAAAAGCAGGCAACTTAGACAACTGCTAGAGAAGGTAAGTCTTCCAAATGTAGTCCTCTTTTTTTTTCTACTAAAGGGAATAATTTCCTTTCCCTCTGTAAAATAACAAGTGATACTTTTTTCATTAGTAATCTAACAAAAGTTATTTCTCTGTATCCCTTCCCATTTTTCCACCCTTAATCACACTTCATCTCTCTCTTTACACTATAGCTCTGCTCATCTGTGTCATTGATCTGGCAGCTTAATGCTGCATATTCTTTTTTGTATTTCACCCCCTGAATTCTAACTTTCACAAAAGCTCATGTGTCAATATCAAGATACTTTTTCTTCATAAAAGTAGTTGCAAATCCCAGTCCAAATCTGCTAGAAGCACAGAGTCAGACTAGGTCCCCTGTCCAAATCATAGGAAGCTTATTCCCTTGAAACTCATTAACAGATTGTAACATATCAATACAAACATTATATTATCTGCACACTGATTTCCTTAAAATATGAATTATTCCAAACAGTTTCCACTTGTTCATATGCTAGTTCCTTAAATACAATAAATTATTGCATCCTGTTCAATATGATCTTTCTGCCAGACTACCAGAGTCTTACACGCTGGGTGCATCTACATGTGCCCCTATGGCGCCATTGTTACAGTGCCATCATTTAGTACTTCATTCTGGAAGTACTAAATGATGGTGCAGTAACAGCCCATACTGTGCTGTGCTGGCAGTGCACAGTTATTTTTAGCCACTACATTACCATAGCAATGCGCTATAGTGAGGGAGCCATGACCAATGTGTGCCCATGGTGGCTGTGGGAGCATGGTGGTGGTGGGAGTGTGGTGGCAGCAGCGGGAGTGCAGCGGTGGTAAGTGGTGAGCTCCTGCAGATGCCGCCAGTGGTGTTGGTGGCAGGGGGAAGGGGTGGTGAACAGTACCTTTTTGCAGGGGGTGCACCACCACGCACAGGGGTTGTATGTGCACCTGCATGCACCCCCTATGCATTGCCAGTGGAGGGAGCGCATTGTTATGGCAACATAGCTCTGGCATCAGAGTTTCTGTCTGCCAATGCTACATCACTGTAGCTCATTGCTACATTGCTATGGCAATGTAGTGTCTTGTGTAGATGTCCCTACTATGTTTATTAACAAATGCATGTACAGTTAAATTAATCAAAGGTTAGATGAGCTATATTTATGGGCAGATCTAGGATTTTGAAACGGGGGTGCAAACGTTGTGTTACATCATCACATATAACACAACACATTTTTATCCAGCTAAAAAGAAACTAGTAGCTGTACAAATATACTAGATGTCTAGGGCTCTAATTCAGTTTAAGATCAAAGCAAAAACAAATAAAATTTTATTGGAAGTTGTATTAATTTTCTATGCCATATAGTATGTACAAAAACACAAAATTAGGCAAAATAATTTTAAACTGTTGTATCTTTAGTCCTGCTGTCATTTGAAATCTTGTCTAAATCTATCCCCCCCCATGCAGGTGATCCCATAAATAACATCACTCACAAAAATCCTTGTCTTACACATATTTCCTAGACTGTCATCACAGGTGCAACTACATTACTCCATATATGGAAATTATATTCAAAGTTGCTACTTTACATTTGAGTGCTCAGGGCAGTCCAAGCGGTGGCAACCAGGCCAGCACACAACTACTGCTATTTACGTGTGCCCTTCCCCCACATCACTCGCCCCCCCTTGCAACCCGGGTCAGTGGCTGGGGCTGCTGCCCTGGTTGCCCCCATTCATTGTAGTACTACACAATTACCCCTTATGTTTATCTTGCATAGGAAATTATGAAAAAATCCTGTAGTTATCAAAACACAAACTACTGTTTTGCATCCCCAGTAGCAGTACCCAAGTTTAGGCTTATTATATAACTAGGAACCTACCTAAATTGTGGTTTCGTGGATTTTGTGGAAAACGTGAAATCCAGGGTTGCCTGCAAAATCCACAAAACAAAACAACTTAACAAAAATAAGTTTTTATTAAGTCTTCCCTTCCTGGGTGGATCTCACAGCCTGCCTGGGAGGGGAAGGTACTGGCTGGCAGTACAGCATGAACAGGGCAGCAGACAAGATGGTGCCTGACCCTCCTTACTCCCCTGAATCCTCTCTGCCAATCAGTGTTCTGAGGATGGGGCTAAATCAAGAGCAGCCAGCAATCAAGATGCTGGTTACCCCTCCTCTTCCCTGGTGTCTCTCAGCCAATCAGCATTGAGGGCCAGGGCCACCATGAAATGTCCGTGAAATACGCCCACAAGTGAGTCCCTATATATAACCACTGGTGGAGAACATGTTTAAACAAGGACAGAGAATAACACAAAATTTAAGACTAAAAACATATTTGTCAACACACACTTTTCAATACTTTATTTCCAAAACTTTTATGGATGGTAACATCACAGAAATACAAATATGGAACCAGATCTTGCACAGGCAAAGCTTATTACTGAGTTCAATTAGAGCTGCTGCAAGCATAGAGTTCAAGGCCACAGCATGAAATACTGTAGACATCTGTAGAGTCTTAGCACAATTCCCTGCCCTCTTCTCCCCCTTTTTTAAATTTAGATTTGTCTCAGAATGGACTTAGAGGGCATGTCCAGATGAACGTACATGTGTGGTTTTCAGTGCCTTAAAGCTTTGCAGTGATGCAAACTGCACATGGCATACATGCACCCATTTGCCACTAATTTGCAGCATGGTGCCAAAATGTGACACCTGGAGATCCCATCAGAAAGGAAGCCTGGCTGACCAGAGCCAAGATCTAGATGCTGGCCAGGCTCCAAGCAGCTGGCTTGGGTCTGCTGCTGTCCCAGGAGGCCCTCAGGACTACAGGTAATGCTGCTGGGGCCAGGACAGGTGCTGACCCTATCCTTCCCTAACCCACCTGGGTTAATTTGCTACATGCCAGAGTGCACATGCAGGGGCATGCCCCGAGTCAAAAAGCAGCAGTACAAATATGTGTCTCCACTATTTTTCCCACAGGAAATGTGTACCCCTGCATATGTGTGGTTGTCTGGATGCACCCAGAGGAGCCTAGAGAAGTACCTTTCCATTTCAATCTTGGAGTCACTTTGGCCTCATAACTAACAGCAGCCAATAAGCAATTTTATTAGCCAAGGACCACTGGAAAGCAAAAATGCTGTTTGTGTCACCCTCCTTTTCCCCAGCTAAGCAGATGGTCTTCCTCTTTAGGCAGGGCTTAGTGGGTGGTAGAGCCAGCTATGATGGGTTTGTACCAAAATAGTGTTCCTTTAACCTAGGGAAAATCTGAGCTTTCAATTTACTTCATACTACAGAAGCAACATAGGTGAAACAAAATGTTTGAATCTGAAGTAATAAATATTTAGGGAATGAACACTGAACTTAAAATAAGTCTTAATTTCTACATGCATGCACATGTATATATCAGGTCCCTAAACTGAAGTTAAAACAGGACTCTTAATTTTGCAAAAAACACATAAGACCTGATTTTTATCTCACTTGTAAGAGATTAAATTCCAAATAATCCTACCACTAAAGTCACTATCTGGCACTATTTGAACACTAACAGAGATCAAAATCAGTCCAGTTATCTTCCAGCAAAGTTCAGACTATCAATATATAACTGCAAGCATCCTGAACAGCTGCCCCCTTTCCCCATTCCTAGAAGCCACGTGGCACTTTATTTCTAAGTATGACAGGGGTGTAGGACATTACAGTGGTAGAAAGGTCAAGGCTCTTGCTACTCATATAGGGGTTCCTCTAAGATGCATAGAAAATATGGACATAAAGGAATATAGAGAGTGTCTGTTGCTGTCAATACTGCACATTTCTTGCTGATAAAATATCTGGAGATGTCATTCTCCAGAGCTTTCACTGTGGCATGTTTCCCAGGTATTTAAATATTCATGACAAAGGTTTTAATCTCTCTCTCTCTTTCTCCCTTTCTCTCTCTCTCTCTTTTTGAAGTCCATACCATGACCTCTTTCACAACTAACCCTTTGATCTGACACACAAAAAAACCTAAATTATCAATCTTCACAAAGTATTTGCTTTTAACTAATGTCTTGGCAAGTATCATCACATCCCTACTTTAGTGTACCCATATGTTGTAGTTTGTAGTAATTTCTGATTAATGTAGCTTCTGGCAAAAGGAAATCTTCCAGATTTTCTCGCAGCTCTCATGGGGTTTACTTGCTTAATTTCAGTAATTAGAAATCTAGAAAAGGAAAAAATATGACTTTATTCCATTAATAGTGTCTTCTAAAATGTTAATGACTAGATTATTGATAGCAAACCTATACTTCTTTAAAAAATATTTTCAGCTGGACATTAGATTAAGTTATTTCAGGTTGTATAATAACCATAAAGTATTATAGAACAGTTGTTAGCATAATGGGCCATTAATTAAAAATTGTGGAAAAGAGCTCAAAGTTTACATATACTTGTCAACACAGTCTTGCCCTTCATGCATTAGAATGGATAGTCAATATTAATTCTACTTGAGCAAGAACTGAACCACTAATGTTTTCTAGTCATATATTGTTTTTTTCTGTATTGATCAAATGAGTTAAAATAAACTTTGGCCATTAATTTATTGAACATACAAAATCCATGAGAACAATCACAACAAAATGTCCTATTTTAGTGTTCTGTTTCAGTTTTATAACTGGTAAAGATGTTGCTTTTTCCCCGCATATTTTTTCACTGACAAACGTATGAGTACATACTTAAAAGATTCATAAAGCTTATAAAGACTCAAGCTATCCTTGCCTTAAAAAGGGAAGTGGGCAAGTTGTATCTAGAGTTCTTTTGTCCTAATTATTAATTACTTGAATCTTCATTTCTGTCAATGTCTCTTTCTATATCTAGTACTGTATTTGAATAAAGTTATTTATTTTATATCTACTTATAAAACCATAAACAAACCCTCATCCTATGGTATATACACCCTATATATAACTGAATTTTACAGTAAAATCTCAAATGTTATGGGTTGCTTTGCATCCTTCTAAATACACACTGTTAAAATAATGCCCTCTACAATAAATAGAAGAACTTCTCCAACTCTCAACTAATTCTATTCAAAATACTTGAAGCAAGAGCTATCCCAGGTATCATATCTAGGTAGATAACAGATGTAGCAGCTACTATAATGAAGATAACTCCAGTGATTAAAATCCCTTTATGAAAGAGACAATGACAACAGCCCCTCTTTTTACTGAAGAGAGTTTTAGTTGTTGAGCCATCTTACACAATATGGTATTAAAGCTTGTCTTCCAGGTAGAATGGTAGAGGCGCTTAGAGCCAGATTTGATTTCACCTCTTGGGCATCTCATTGAAGTGTAATTCTATTCTATGCAGCTCAGATCATGAAAATCCAATCCAGTCAGACTTTAATAACACATCATCATCAATATAAGAGGAAGTCATCAAAAAATCAGTGAAGAGGAGAAGGACTCACTCATCTTTTGCACCCATGTTTTTCAGAGACATGAGCATAATAGATGGAATAGAATCTTGCCCTTAGGACATTATGGGACTGAGTCTGCTAAAGCCTAATCAGTTTAGCAAAACATTAATTATATGCTCAGTTATAAGTCTATAATTTAAATGGGAAAGCTCGAATATAAAGCTAAGGACATGTCAAGATCAGAATGTATTATTACTTTATCTGTTTTGTTTTGGTATCTCTTGGCTGGTCTGCACTATGCTTGTGCCAAGTCACAGACAGCCACCAAGAAGTACAGCCAGCCCGGTCCCTCTTGCTCTGTGAGAGCCCAAACCCAGATATTACACAATGCACTTCAGAGCCTAAAGCTGTGTTCTTGGGCTCTGTGTCCCAGGAATACTTACTACTCAGTGGGTGTATCTATACGTGCACAGTTATCACGCAGTATTCTAAATTACTGCTCAGTAACCTACAATTACTGCACAGTACAGGCGTGTATCTACACATGCATGCCCATACTGTACAGTAATTATGGTGACTTATACCAACCTCTATGTAAATTTGATACCTGTATGATACAGGTGTCAAATTTACACCCAATTAGTTACGGTGCAGTAACGCACATATAGACACCTTACTGCGCAGTAACACTGTATATATGGACTAATTTGGGGGTAACTTTTGTGCATTAATGCCCTCTACTATCTGCATGTGTAGAAGCTGGCCTATTTCTGTTTGCTGAGTAGTAAATTTAATGTGATGTAAATGCACATGTAGATGCACCAAATCCTTTGAAGGTGGCTACCTGGCCTAATTGCTCCTGTTTGTTATGCATGAAGTAGAGGCAAGTGGCCAAGTGGCCATAGCAGTGCTTCAGGGTTCAACAAAGTGGCAGAATAGATGTTCCCTAAGAACTGCAGTCATGGACCAGGTCACAGTTTTGCTGGGAACTGTACAAATTCAGAATAAAAATGTAATTCTAGTCCCCAAAAGCTTGCTACCTAAAAAATAGAACAGTAATGATGCTGATTTGTTCAGTCTACATTAGATATAGGAAATATTTCTCAAGAATCTTTGGTAATTCTGAATGAAGTATTTATAGTGGGTGCATCTACATGTGCAATTAATGTGATGCAATAAACTCTGGAGCACTATGAGCTTCAGTGAACTGCTCCTGGGGGCAGCATCTAGATATGTACCTGGGATAGCAGCACTTTGAGCTGGGGCAGAGCTGGTCTGGGATGGCAGCAGGCTCGGGGAGTCAGCCCCGGCCTCCAGGTGGCAGCATCACGCATGGCACAAGAGTGCCAAACTTGTAAAGCTGTGTGGCTAGGCAGAAGCCAGGAATCTGGCCTCTGCCCAGTCACTGTCTACATGTGTGTTTCAGCACAGTTTATTGCTCTGCTGTAGGATACTACTGTCTCCAACAGTACTACTGTGCCATAGCACTGGAGCATGTGTAGACTGTGATGCTTTACTGTGGAGCTAATTAGTCAACTCCACAATAAAGCAGATGTGTAGATGTAGCCAATGAAGAGTAAAAGCCTAACAGTGGTGCTAAAGCAGTCTTTTGTAAAATGTTATTTTAAAAAAACCATTTTTTATGAACACCAGTAATTGATAGGGTTCCCAAAGTGTGCTAGCCTACTTCTTTTAAAGCCAATAGGAATTTTGCCACTGAAGAAGAATCAGGACAAAGCCTGAAGAGTGGGATTTTATTCCCACTCATAGAAAACAGTGAGCTGTACCTTCTTAAAATGTAAGTATCAGCCTTTATTCTGGTACCATGATGTTTTGCAAAGTATTAGCATTTAAATTAGTTCATCACCAGAATGTAAAATACAGGGCTTTGCAAAACTCTTTTTATGATTATTGAAACCTGAAGTGCCACAGTTCTTTAAAGGAGACCCTCTCTCTCTCTTGCATTAATTTCAGCCATTTAACTCCACTGACTTCACTGGAATTCTCCTGATTTATTTTGGTGTACAAGATCAGATCATATCTGCTCTCTTAGATATGAGATCTGAATAATGTGAGGTGTTAATAATTGCTTCCAAAAGCCATGGCAGATACATAGCCCTTGAGAGATCAACCTTTGAAAGACTGCCCAACACACTTTAACTTCTGTCTAAATGGCAATTAGTACTTTATTTGCCAAGTGTAACTTCAGGTCTTCCATACACCTAAATAAAGTCAAATTTTAAGATCTTTAACTCATATTCTTACCCTGTTCCTTCAGACCCTCTGTAAACAGTTTTAGGTAGAGCAATGGCTGAGAATTAAAACTTAAATCAGATCCTGAATAACAGCCATATATTATATTTCCCTGAGCTATTGAATGCTTATGTCTTTTTGTTCAGGAATATTAAGTCCCAAACCTCCTTTATGATTCCCTGTCATAGGACATTTCTTCCCCTTGCTGAATATTCAGAGTATTCAACAGTTTTCTTTAGGGTATGTATAATGACTTTTGGAAACATTTCTTTCTTATTTTTACTGAAACAATACCACTGATTTCTGTGGGGTTACCCAAGTGTGACTGCCAGAATGTGGCCTGTTTTCCATATGGTTATGCAGTTATGAATTCAAAGCTCCAGTGTTATAAAATAGCTAATAATTGAAGCACTGACTGAAGCATGACATTTTATCTCTTGACATTTACCTACAGATATATTGAAAAAGAGTGCATTTAGAGAGTGTTCTTCTTTTAACAGGTTCAGAATATGTCCCAATCTATTGAAGTTTTAAATTTGCGGACTCAAAGGGATTTCCAGTACGTTTTAAAAATGGAAACACAAATGAAAGGGCTGAAGGCCAAGTTTCGGCAAATTGAAGATGATCGGAAGACATTAATGACAAAACATTTTCAAGTAGGTTTTATTTTAATAATAACTTTGAAAGCCTGTGAGAAGCTATGCACCATAAATTGCTGAACTCTGAGCTGAAAGTGCTCTTACAAAAGCAATATGACAAATAAAAACATAATAACACCTTTTATGGTGATAATCTCTTTCTCTATTCAAGTTAACAATAATAGGGAGTGACCATTAATTATTAAGACTTTATAGAAATGGCATTATAAACATAATCTTATTTTGCTGTATCTATCTGCCTATCATAATGAGAAGTTTATATTCAGTCAAGCATAAGTAATAAATGAGGAAGTTGAGGGAATTAATAGCAAACAACTACGGAGCTTTGCACTTTACCATTGTCTGACATTTAGTTGAGCTAAAGAAAAAGAAGTTTATAATAAAGAATTACAATAACTTAATTTCTCAGTATCACTAAGAACTAATTAGAGGTTTGAGGGTTTTTTTCTGATAGTTATACTGGTTTTGCAGTTGCGATTTTTTTTCTTGTCTCACATATGCTATAAGCAAAAATGTATGTGATCAGTTTCTTAATTGGGTAAAAAAATGTCTAATTACCAATACAACACTAACCAACCTATTTGCTATGAAATCTGGACACATGATGCTTAGAAAATAGTAATGTGTATTCTGATGAGGCCATCTAAATTACTCTGAGACCATGTTATAGAGGGATATTAGAGTGTTGCACGTTCTGGGTCCAACTGAATAAGAGTGCTGAATGTGTGAGGAATATAAAATAGAGTCTATTAACATAATTTTCATCCTTGGAATATAGTTAAAGTATTATGCCTTTCAATGTGTTCATGTGTGGTCAAACATAAACCCAAAGACATACATGTTCAAAAGTCAGTAGTCAAAGTATGGCACCTAAATCCATAATTAATCACCTCTGAGTGTTCTGATTTTCCACAGAGCCATTGAACACCCAACAGCTCCTGTTAATTTAGCGAATTAATACAATAATAACCTTCCTATGGAGGAAAAAATTTACTTGCTCGTTTTAGTTAGGCTTGAAGTCCAAGTATGGATCCTCTTAGCCTTTTTTAACATCTCCCATTATAACATTCATCACCATAATAACACATCTATGTTGTGCCATTACTCACTTGGTATTCTCATTACATTTTGTGCATAAACAAAATATCAGAATTTAAATGTCTGATATAGGCTGTCAAAAGTAGCAGCATGTTGTACTTCCCTACTCTAACCTTTTAAACATTTGACTTTTTTTTTTGGCTGGGCCTTCAGGACCAGCTTGACAGTTTGCCAGGAGTAAAAGACAGATTTCTAGCCAGTCATACTATAGAGTAATATAAAAGGTCAAAATAATACCATATGCTGATGTCTTTCAGAATTTTAATCCACTAAAATTCTGGTACTGCATCCCATTCCTGAGACACTGAAATTTGTCTATCCTTGCTACCTCATCCAGTATCACTTCAGTTCAGACCAAGCTTAGTACAATTATATAGCCCTGTTCACTCACTATCATCAAGTTATGAAATCTCTTAGGATTTGGCTGATTCTCACTGCTGTCAAAGGCAACACTCTTATGTACTTTATTGACAGTAGGATTGGACTCACTTTGGAGAAAAGAGTTTTTAATTTATGGTTTTGTAAAAAGCTAGAAGTTTATGGTCCTACATATGTAGTTTTAGTAGTAATAAAAAATTCTGCTTCTCTTTTTCCATTTTACTTTAATTCAGCAGTTTCTGGGTACATACTATGAAAGGAACTTTTCTAATGAGTAGAATCTATAGTTCAGAGCAGCAAAGGGAACTTCTGACACTCTAAATGCATTTACATTAATAACATTTCAATGTGTAATTTAAAAATTCAAACTTCTACTGCTCACATTAGCTATATATTCGGGCTGTGCAAAGCTTCGGTAGCTGATTTGATTCAGTGGAGATTCGGCCCAATTTGGCGGCTGAATCTGAATTGAATTTGGAGACCAATTAAAAGGTCCAAATCAAATCAGAAGCCTCCAGATCAATTTGGAAAAGATTCAGCGCTGATTTGGAGATTAGGCCATAGACTAAACAGGCTGCAGTCCTCACCACACTGGCCTCAGCTGCCTCCAGCTGGTAAGTCTGTTGTGGTGGGCAAAGGGGAGAGGGAAGGGGCATGGGCGAGCAGATCAACACCCCAACAGTGAGGGTGGAATTGGAGATGGGGCTGAGACAAGCTGCCCGGCCAGGCTGAGGGGGTGTGGGACTTAGGGAGGGGGGTTTCTGCCACTACATGCCTCTGCATGCCGCCAGTCTGGGAGGGCATGGGAGTGGACACGTGCCCCCGAATCTGCATGCAGTGGGCTGAGCCAGGCTGTACTCTAAGATGTTAGCACCAGCTGCTTGCCGCCAGGCTGTGCTCCTGGGTAGCTAGCCCCAGTCGCAGCCCAAGGCGCATCCCTAACTCCACCCACCACATAGAGCGCAGTGGAGTGGGGGCTGCAGCCACCCTAAAATTCCCCATGACCCCTGCCACCAGCCCCTCTCCGATCTGGGTGCACGTGCCTGGCCCCATGCCCTACCACTGCTTGCCCAGCTGGGGTGAAGTCGTGGCTTGTCCAGGAGACATGGGAAGGCTGGGCAAGTGGCAGGAGGGAATAGTCCCCACTCCTAGCATCTTCCACTGCCTGTCCAGAATGCAGCCCAGCCCACTCCACGCAGATCCAGAGACACGCCTGCTCCCATGCCCTCCTGAACCGGCGGCATGTGGCAGCACGCAGTGGCAGGAGTCCCCCTCCCTGAGTTCCATGTCCCTTCAACCCAGCTGGGATGCTTATCTGAGCCTCAGCCCCAATCCCTCCCTCGCTCTGGGGGCGTTGATATGCCCCCCCCCCATGCCCCTTCCCTCCACCCACCAAAACAGACTTGCCAGCTGCAGACAACTGTGTCCAGCATGGTGAGTATTCCTGCCTGTTTAGTCTATGATCAAATCTCCAAAGCAGTGCCAGATCTTCAGATCTGATTCCACTGACTTGAATTGGGACAGTGATTCAAATCACTGAATCAAATCAGTGTCCCTCCGGATCGACCAAATCCAAATCCGAAGCAAATACTTGCAGCTTCACGCAGGCCTACTATATATACAATATATTTCCTGTCTATACATATGGATTTTTTTTCTTTGGAGTTACTAACAAATGCCAGTTGAAAAAAAGGAAGAAGAAAATTATGAAGAACTTAATAAAAAAATTCATATATGTTATAATCACATACAGAAAAAATTATTATGACACAGTAATTATTTTGCACCACATCTGAAAGATAGGCAGGTCAGAGGTATCTATAAACACATCTATGTGAACCTGCCTTCCCGCCCACTCTTTCCTTCAGGGTAGAGACATAATTTTCAACTTTAAAAACTCCCCATAGTATTTATGGAATCTTTCAACACAAATTACATTTAAATTATACACATTCCTCATGTTTCTGCAACCATTGAAAGCATCATCCCTCCATTTTCTTGGGTTTTTATTACACTGTTCTTTCTTGATTTATTACCTTCTACCTTGATGACCATTCCCTCAGCACCACCCTTAGCTGATTATCTTTCATCTATTGATGTTCCCAGGATGCCATCCATGGTTTCCTCTCTTTTTCTTCTCTATATTCTCTTTGTGGGTGACCTCATCTGCTCACAGGGGTTCTGTTATTATCTTTATGCTAAGCCTACATCTCCATTCCCTTTTTTCCTTTTTTGTCTAGGCTGCACCTCCTTCTGTCTCTCTGACATTTCCTCCTGAAATCCTGCTGTTCCTTTAAATAATAAATAGAATTGTAAAATGTTTGAATGAATGTGTTATGATAAGGACAAATTTATGTTCCATAAAGAAAAAAATTAATTACTAGAATTCTCGACAATATGGTGCCTAAACAAGAATCAGTTGCCTTAACAAAATCTACTTATTTTTAGACTATTTATTTTTATTGAAACCCTGACAAAGGTATTAAGAAAGTACATAGCTATGGAAAAGTGGTAAAAAGGATTAGGACCTAGCTAGAAAAGCATTCAAGTAAGGAACATACAATCTTTTTTCAATATGGTAAAGACTTAAACATGTTATAACCCATGGGTGCACACCTATATGCAAAAGCATAGACTTGCAGTGGCAAAATTAGTAGTGACACAGTTTTGTGCTGCTACTGTTTTGACTGCAGCACATGCCCCTGAACATTTGCTTTGATGAAGGATTGCCCCACTTCAGGCAAATTGCCCTTTCCCAGCTCCTCTTATCGCCTGATGTGCTGGAGGATCCAGGGCACAACTAAAGGAGTGAAGATGCTCTGGCAGGCAATCAGAGTGTCTTCCTAGAGGACCAAGCTGCCATATCTGCCAGTTCATGCTCCTGTCACAAGCTCCATGCTGCTTTCCTTCTCAATGTTTGGTTTTTTTTGCTACTGAGATTTCTCAGTAGCAAAATTTGCTCCCAGACTGCACATCTGCAGTTTGGGAACAGTTTAACATTCCAGTTGTGCAATTTGTGAGGCCACAAAGAGGTCTGTGGCCCCACAAACTGCACATGCCTGCACATCTGGGTGCAGCCCATGAATCCAAAGTAGGAGTTGTGTTCAAATAACTTACCCATGACTTGGAAAAGCTATCCAGCTATCCAAAAGAGAAGGAATGGCCAGGTAGTAACAGCTTTGCTGGACACAAATATGAGTTAGTCAAGGCTGTGGATGTGACCTGAATCAAATGATACAACATGATGATGACATATAAAAACCATGATTGACCAATGTGTATTAGCCAGGATGATTTGAACTCATACCCAATGTCGGAGTCTAAATCAGATAAGACATAATTGTGTACAGATCAGTGAAAGGATCTGTGCTGAATACTGCAGCTGTAAAAAATACACTCAGTAGTAGTTTTAAAGGAATAAAATAGACAACAGTAGTTCAGCTATTATAATGATATTGTAAAAGTTGGTGTTACATCCTTCCCTGCAATGAAGCATTAAAGCACAATCACCTTCTTTCAAGAAAGAGGTGGCCAGTGGCCTTTTGTATCCTGTGGAGGAAAAGATAAGTCACAGAAGGTTTGTTTCCTGATTCTTAAAAATAATTTTGTACTTTCAGTAGAAATGGATTATTCTCTTTCAACATGTTTTCCAACATTTGCTGCCATTAATCCTGAGGTTACTAGAACTTTCTCAATATAACAATAATGGATCTGAAACTAAAATTAATAAGCATTTTAATAATCAGTCATAAATATTATATTAAAGGGAGTGAGGGGCTTGGAACTCTTTTAAATTGCTCTAATGCACAACTGACTGCTTTTCAGGAGTTGAAGGAAAAGATGGATGAGCTCCTGCCATTGATCCCAGTTCTGGAACAATACAAAACTGATGCCAAATTAATCACCCAGTTCAAGGAGGAAATTAGGAATCTGTCTGCAGTTCTCACAGGGATTCAGGAAGAAATTGGTGCCTATGACTATGAGGAACTACACCAGAGGGTGCTCAGTTTAGAAACCAGGCTTCGAGACTGCATGAAAAAGCTCAGTAAGTGAACAATTTCATGCTAAATTTAATTCCTAGATTGCATCTTCATCACTTCCTTAAAGAAACACACAACACTCTGGTTTCAGTTCTATATACACAGTGCACCAGATTTTGATCTGTGTTATATTAGTGTAAATACAAAGTAACTTGGCTGAAAGCAAACTGTGTTACATTTCTGTCTGAATCACTTGCTGATGAAGCATAGCAATGTGTTTTATTTTCAGTGCTGCTAAAGGCATCTTGTGGGTCTCAGGGAGAATCTAAGCTTCTGGGAACCCACGCATTGACTTCAGTTTGATGCAGTGAGTTCCTGACATCTCTGAAAATAGGCACTTCTTTAATATTGGATAGCTAAAATTAGGGGTCATTTTTTGAAATGTCACCCTTAACCTTCTTGCCCAAAGTATAATTAATACTTGTTTACCTTATAGTCATGATACAAGTACTTATAGAGCCTAGCTCCTTCCAGTTAATGTCAATGTAAAAAAAAGTATCCCCTCTGACTTATATGAATGGATTGGGCAGTAATTCATTAGGGGCCACTCATTTAAAGTATTTTGAGATATATAGATTGACAGTGTTATTTAGAAGCAAATATCTATTGTTTACTGAAAGCATTTACCTTCCAGTACTGTCCATCCAGCTGCTTTTATGATAACCAAATTCATTATAAAGCAAAAGAAACACAATAGTGAAATTCCAGGGCTCAGACTCATAAGAGCTACCTTCATTTTCATGTTTTGGATGTTTGCTTTCATAGTCAATGGAAGGCAGCTGAAATCTGTTATTAAATAGAGAGGTGCTTTCCATAATAAAAGAAGTGGGCTTTCTTTGAAGCAATGGGAGAGACAGAAAAAAATAAATCTAGACTGAGTTATCCTCTGAAATTCTTTATTTTCACCTGTTTCTTTTCATACCAGAAATAGCATATCAGTGATAGGAAAAATACATGAAAGAATTCCTCAAACAGATTTTTTAAATGAATTTATTCTCCCCTTCAGTACACACATATAATATCAAATTACTATGCTGACAGAAGATACACAGGTTCGGCCAGGACAAAATACCATATAGGTATTACTATGCATTAGTGAGATAGAAACGTAG